CGATTCGGTAATGATGTTGCAATGCTTTAGATGCTCTGGCAACTCTTTCCGCTGATGCTCGTCAACTAACCTATTTCCGTTCACAGTTACTTCCCTGATTCTGACATCATTCGAGTTCGTAGGACAGAACACATTGCACATATTTCCAATTTACTCTGTCTAGGTTAAAATTTGGTTTTATCTCAGGTTTTCGGCAAAAACTGCACCGTTCATGATGTGCCGGAAACACACATCTGATACCTGAATATCACATGTGTTGGGCAGTTCTCTGAAGCGACGAATGGTGTATTCCCTGAGTTCTTGCCAATTGACATTTCCATGGTTAAGAATAGCACGGTGTTTTTTTTAATTTTTATGAAGTGGGCTGGTCAGAGCCTAGGCGAATTGCCATTTTCAGACCTAGAAACACGATGGATATGTCTGCTGAACTGTGGCAATCTCTCCTAATACTTAAGATATCGTTGTGTCGAACGGTAGATATACCGGGATCAGGTACATGTTCCCATTCCTGCTTCAGTAAAGTTGCTTCCGACGTTGAGAGCTCTAGGGAGAAAAGAAAACTTAATTTTAGTTTAAATGGTGATCCTGTATTAGCATAGAAATGTTGTTAGTATATATCGTTTATACCGGAGACATTGAATATAGCAATACTTCTGGACTGCATTTATGTGGTCCATCAGATTATCGTATTCAGCATAGATCCGCAAGTAGATGGGATTCTTAGGACCTAATAATACACGACTTGCTCGTCCCATCTTCTATGATTTTTTTCATTTTTGACAAGGGTAACATTTAATGGTGTAGGTATCTCACCGTCCCCAGTGTCTCTGCGCCCAGACTGCAATGCAGAACGTCCTTAATTATCGTGTTGTAAGTCCCTCAGATCTGTCTTAGAACTCCATTGATCCTGCGATCAGAATCCTGTGCCTCTGCACTTCAGGAGCTCTGATCTTTTTTTACAGCGAAAGAGTTAAGCATCGATTCAGATGCTCCTTATAATCATCCTTAGTTATTTAGGTCCCTTGTGGAAAAAGGTACTTCTTTCCGCATAATAGTGATTTTGGATTTTAGTGATTTGAAGGATTTTTCGTTGATACTTCGTAATTTATATCGATATTTGTAAACTGTGGTATTGCCTCGTCGGATATATCTAATTCTTCCATTGATAGTTCTTCCAATAACAATTGCATCCTTAGTCTATTTATGGTTTGCTGGTATCTCTAAGGATAGTTTAGTTCAAATGAACTATGCAATTTGTGATATAGTTCTCATTGTTTAGACCTTCACAAGATAATTCCAATATCGGGCGTTATGAACTTTCTCTGAGCTGCTTTGTGCTAACCCGGCAACTCCTGTTTGGACATAAATAATTACGAACTTTTGGACTTAAAACCATTTCAAAGAATCTGAAAATGTAAGCAAAGCTCCCATTTCTGCGCTTATTAAAAAAATACGATGCACCGCGATATTTCAGTTGTAACGAAAATACCCACTCCTCCTCAAAATTGATCCGATCCGAATCCAATCCCCAATGACAATTCACAAAATAAAAGAACTTTCGTTCCCGTTACTCATAAATCCTACCACAACACTTTATCCAACGAAACACTGTGTCAAACAACTGAGAATGTACAGAAGCAGCTACCTTTGGGGCAGCGCTGTAACGTCGCACTGCTAAAGCCAGCAAACCTATGACGACCACGAAATCAACCGACAACAACGGAGCATTAAGCAGATGGAAACAAACTGAACTATCAGCAGACAACAAGCAACGGTAAAACAAGCAAACTCTTCGTGCCGCAAAAAAAATCAGCCGCACACATGAACTTACAACAAAGAAAAGAAATCAGCAACAGCAACAACAAGAAAAATATTAAACATCATCAGCACCATTCCAACATTCTTTCGGTCGTACAACGACCTCGACTTTGATTTGCAGTTAAACGGACGAACAAACGAACGATTACAAACTGAGCTAAAAACACACACATACACACAGCAATAAAACATATGATTCGGTGTCGGCGTTGGCTTATTTATTCTGTTTGGTATGGCGTATGATGAAGAGAGAGATACGAAAGAGAAGTTCAACCGGCATTTAAGAGAGAAGAGAAAATACTTATGAGCTTGACTGATTGGCAATTCGCTGTGAATTTTGCAATTTGTGTTCTTGTTTGTTGTCTATTGCAGAGATGGGCATAATGCACTGTATTTTTAGTGCACTAATAATTTCACTATCACTGTTCATTTAGTGGTAGTGCAATTTTTAATTCCACTACCACTAAAGGGTTAGTGGTAGTGAAAAATAAATTGCACTACCACTAACCCTTTAGTGATATTTAAAAAAAAATTGCACTACCACTAAATTTTAGTGGTAGTGAAATTTCAATAGCACTACCACTAAATTTAGTGGTATTTGAAAAAAGTTGCACTAAATTAGTGGTATTTCATAAAAAATAGCACTAAATTAGTGCTATTTAGAAAAGTAATCAAATTTTATGAATATGTACTATATATTCTGGATTGTTGTTCCCTACTCACTTCAATAAACTTCATTATAGCTGGTTTAATATTTATATACATAGTGCTTTTTTTTGGCTTCGCCAAATTTTAGTGGTAGTGCAAATTTTTTTTGAAAAATCACTAAATTTAGTGGTAGTGCTATTAAAATTTCACTACCACTAAAGTTTAGTGGTAGTGCAATTTTTTTTTAAATATCACTAAAGTGTTAGTGGTAGTGCAATTTATTTTTCACTACCACTAACCCTTTAGTGGTAGTGGAGTTAAAAATTGCACTACCACTAATTATTTGATTCTTAGTGCACTAAAAATTTAGTGCAATATGCCCAACCCTGGTCTATAGGAGGGGGATACGGTCTTGAGTTTGGAGTGCTGCCAGGGTTGGGAAACGTTAAATATAATTGACAATAGGAACTGGTTACTTATAGGGGACTTGAGACCAAGAAAAAGCTAATGTAGTGGCCGAAAAAAAACTTGGAGAAATTAGTCTACTATGCTAATATTATAAAGATGCTCTTTATGTAAAACAAGCTGTAATTTCGGCCGGGCCGAAATTTGAATACCCCCTAACCATATGAAAAGAATTTGACAATTAAAAAAAAAAAAGAAAAAAAACAAAAAAAAAATCATTAAAAATTTTGTTAAAATCTTAAAAATACCGAATGTAGCCGTTACATTAGGGCCCACACGACGACGTGGACCTGCATAGGCAATTTTTGTCATGAGCCATACATGGGGCTTCCGGTGAATAGTGTCCCTAAATTCATTAAAATACCGAATATCAGGACGTACCGCCAAATGGGGGCTATAGGACGAAGTGGACCTGCACAGACAATTTTCTGTCTTAGGCTGTAGTATCCATTACGAACTTCAAAAATCAAATTTGAAACAATTCCGGTAAATAATGTCGCTAAAATCATCAAAATACCGAATATCGGGAGGTATCGTTATATGAGGGTGATACGAAAGCGTGGACCTGCACGGGCAATTTTCTGTCGTAGGCTGTTGTCACCAATACGACCTTCAAATACCAAATTTGAAACATTTCCAGTGAATAATGACGATTAAATCACCAAAATATCGAATATCGGGAGATACCATTATATGGGGTCTTTACGAAGGCGTAGACCTGCACAGACAATTTTCTGTCATAGGCTGTAATATCAATTACGAACTTTAAATATCAAATTTTTTTCCGCTGATTAGTGTCGCAAAAATAATAAAAATACCGAATATTGGGAGGTGCCGTTATATGGGGGGCTATACGAAGACGTGGAGCTGCACAGACAATTTTCTGTTATAGGCTGTAATATTTATTACTAACTTCAAATATAAAATTTGAAACAATTCCGTTGAATAATGTCGCTAAAATCATAAAAACACTGAATATCAGGAGGTACCGTTATATGAGGGCTATACGAAGACTTGGACCTGTACAGACAATTTTCTGTCATAGGCTGTAATATCCAATTCCGCTGATTAATGCCGCTATAATCATCAAAATACCGAATATCGGGAGGTACCGTTATATGGTGGCTATACGAAGACGGGGACCTGCAGGGATAATTTTCTGTCTTAGGCTGTAGTAACCATTACGAATTTCAAATAACAAATTTGAAATAATTGCTTTGAATAATGTCTCTAAAATCATCATAATACCGAACATCGGGACGTACCATCATATGGGGGTTATACGAAGAAGTGGACCTGCACAGACAATTTTCTGCCATGTTCTGGCTGTAATATCCATTACGAACTTTAAATAGCTATGGTGGAGAGTATATAAACGGCATTCGAAACGTTGAGCTAAAATTCCCTGTTGTACTCCAAAACAAACTAATATTTGCCTTCAGAGGAAGGACTTACAAAATGGTTTAAAAGTTCGTATTATGGATTCTTTTCCTGGATCTTCTGGATCGTGTATTATTATCTTCGTTGGAGTTAAGGACTGTTGGAACCTTCTTCGACAGGGGAACTTGGTTTTTTCGTAAAAAAATTTGTTCTCCATTTAACTCATATATGCCAAATTACTCCAAATGGAATTGAAGCATTTCCATCCCTGGCGGAGTACATCGCACAAGCAATGAATAACTTACCGAACAACATTCACACAATGATAAAAGGTAATCAAACGGCCTCTAGACGACCTACACTCTCTTTTTACCGTTTTGTTGGAGTCGCTCAGTTGTTTGTTTTTCATTTCTTTTTTGTTTTTGGTTTTTTTTTGCAAAGACATTTTTCCGAAGCTTCATTGAAAGGGAGCAACAAAAACAAATCAAAGAGAATGATATTTGCCAAAGTGGAGCATGGCTATTAAGCCGGTTTCTGTTTGTTCTGTGAGTGCGTGACTTTCTCTCCTTTATGCTCTTGGGCCAAAGACAACAAAACCAACTTTGAACTGTTTACGACAAAGAGAGGCCTATCTCTCTGTATGGCCAGCAATGAAATTTGTGTTTGGCAATCAGTAATTGTACCTCGCTCGTCGTGTATGAGCCCATCATTTCTTTTCATTCATTCGTCTGTTGGTTGTTCGAGACAACAGACTGTCAGACAAAAAAAGGCCAGCATAGAAAGCTAATAAAATGGCATATTTCTATTTGAGAAAAGCCAAATAAATCAGAATCATCATCATCGAATAACCTAAAATGGAAGAATATTGTTCGGAATTTCGGTGATAGTGCCCCAATATGTCTGAGAAAAATGAATTCGTTTGCTCTTCGTATATGCCTACGACAGAATAGACTTTTCGTTTGGTGTGAGTTCAATTTTAGTTTGCAGCCGATTATAATAGTCGCATTCGCATTTCGTGGCTTCAATGGCGCAGTACAAACTAACGGTACCCTTGTGGAATTTCATAAGAATAGTAACAACAACAAGAAGAAAAAACAACAACACTATATAGTATTGACAACAACACAAAAGAATAATGACCACAATGATATTATTACAACAAAAAAATTATACAACAATGTGTACAACAACGACGCAATGTAAACAGCAAAACAAAGAAACAATAAAGATAAATAAAAACAAATAATGCAAAATAAAAAACAAAAAATAAATAAAAAATAATAACAAAAACAAACTCAAAGGTGTTGAAGAATAGCAAAAACAACAAATGAAATTTCTTTCCCAGTGCGTTCCTGATAAAATGGTTTTGTTTTAAGAAAATACTAGAAGTTCCATTGACGAAAAAAAATGATTTGTTCAAACACACAAATAATGTTTGCTGAACCCCGCATAACCTTCTTATCGCCAACGAAACAATTGAATATATTTCCTAGCCAACCAACCACACATCTTATCAGCCTCAACGCTGCATCGTTGCACCCTGACCTCTTTTGCATCGAGGCGACCTTGTATACTATGTGCACGCGACAAAATGCCTACAAAAGTTTAGTAGCTCGGCACATACTCAACGCACCGCCAGCCCGCCCCATTCTTCCATGCCACATATCAGCCAAGGTACTACTTTCAAATATTAAACAAACGGTTTTAAGTGGCTTTATGCTTTTTTTCCACAAAAGAAAGGAAATTTTTATACGTCGCAAACAAGTGATAATTGTCTGACATGCAAATGGAATGCATGGTAGTGGCATCAAGCGAAACCGGCAGTCGCCGCATTATTAGCAACCGGATGTCTAGTCTGGCTTGGTTTGGTCCAGTATCCAAAATTCAAAAAAAGAAAACACAACTTTGACAATAACAAAGAAAACGGCAAAGGCAGACAGACAGACAGACAGACAGAGAACAGCCAACACAAAATGAATTGCATAAATGAATACTATGAATGAATTTTACTAAGCAAAACAAGTGTGTGAGTGAGTGCATGAATGAATACATGAATTAAACAGAAAACTGTTCAACATTCTGAAAGGCAGTCAGTCAGTTGTCCAGCCGAGACAATCAGGCAGACACACGCATATGCTTAATGGCAATCCCAAATTTTCCACCTACCCAAGCATTAATTTGGGTCTCATAATCATGCTAAAGAAAAATCCAACACAGCCAGACAACCTGCCAGCCAGCCGGACATCAAGTTGCACTTGTTCGGTTTTGAGAGGAAAACTACTTAAGCAAAAAAAAATTGTATTTTTCATTCATAAAAATCCAAAAATCAAGGCGCCCACATACAAATTACCATATGAACTGATATCACATCATACGAATAATGTACGTACCCACATATGTTTGTATCTTTAAATCTAGTCTAGTTGTATAACTGCACACACACACAACCGACCGACTGACTTGATAGTCTGAACCATCAATTTACCAGATATAGAGAGATAGAAACATAGTGGCATACAAATTTTGTTACACATGTATACGCTATTAGAGCGATAAACATATATGGTAAATACATAGAAATTGATATGAAACACTCCATATGTTAATCTAAAGCTTCGAATGAAGAAGAAAGAATGATGACGAATGATTAAGAACTGACCTACAAATGTTATGGAGTTATTGCTAGTAATTCATCCAACAGATGTGTTAGTTGTTGTGGGGCCCAAAGAAAGGGGAAGCTTTTTCAGAAATGTAAGTGTACACAGCCACTTAACGATTTTCTATAAAAGTTTAGTAATACCTCTATCTGTGGCCAGAAAGAAACAGAAGGATGACACCAACATCTTCTATTTCTAAAAAGAAAGTGCAAGCAATTGTTATATAAAGATATATAAACATATTACAAATATATAAAACGGATTCGAGGAAAATATACAAATTATGTGAAAATTTTGAGAAAAAAAAAAAGAATTTTTTATAAAGATTGCTCTCTGGGATAATTTCAACAGTGTGATACAAATCGTGAAAATTTCTGAGTTACTGAATCAAGCTGTTAATAGTTCTAAAATGAATATCAGATCCACACCATATTTTTGCCATTTAAATTAAGAGAGAGAAAGGCTAGAATATTGTCAGTGTAGATCAGAGATAGACAAAATAGTAAAAGAGAAAAATTTAAAAAAAATTATTGAGTCGAATTCTTCCTATCAATTTAGTAAATTTCAAAAAAAAAAAAAAAAAAACAGAAGAGAAAAACAGTAAAGAAAGTCTTTAAGTCTGGCGGGGCCAACTTTATGATACCCTACAAAACTTTGCTAATTTAGTAGAGCTCCACATAAAAATTAAAAGTTTTTATGGGAGAATTTAATCATACACGCTATGATTATATTTGTAATTTAAAATTCAAAGGACTAAATATGCCGAAGCATTTGTATCTTTTAAATTCGGACTTAAATTGCCCATTTGGTGCAAAATTAATTTGAAATCAGATAAAGATATATATGGAAGTTATATCCAAACCTGAAACGATCTCGATGAAATTTGGCAAATATATTTTGAGCTGTATTTGATATATTTCCCTGAATATCGTTGTTACGGAGCGCATATTACGGTTGTGGGTAACAAATATAACAAATCGGATGAACAATATATATATGGGAGCTATAGCTATATCTGAACCGATCTTCACCAAATTTGACATATTAGCTTCTAGACTCAATTCGTTCATAAGTGCCAAATTTCATCCCATTTGGACAAATATTAGACGTTTGGTGCACAATAAAAGGTAAATCGAACGAAGTTATATATGGGAGCTATATCCAAATCTGAACCGATCTCGATAAAATTCAGCAAATGTATTTCTGAGCTGTATTTGATTTATTTCCCCAAATATTGTTGTTACAGAGTGCATATTACGGCTGCGGAAGACAAAAATTACAAATCGCATGAACAATATATATGGGAGCTATAGCTATATCTGAATCGATTTCGATCAAATTTGGCGAATTTATTTGCAGGCCTAATTTGGTTGTATGAACAAAATTCCATACTATTCGGGTTGATATTACACGTTTGGTGCACAATAAAAGGCAAATCGGACGAAGATATATATGGGAGCTATATCTAAATTTTGACCGATTATCTCGAATTTCAATAGGGTTCGTTCTTGGGCCAAACAAATGATTTTTGCAACATTTCATGTGGATTGGGCAATAAATGCGAACTGTACTTTGTTTACAAAGAGGGAGCTTATTTCGCTCGGGCCGAACTTATAATTTCGATTTCGAACTTTAAATACGAAATTTGAAACAATCCCGGTGAATAATGTCGCTAAAATCATCAAAACTTCAAATATTAGGAGGTATTGTTATATTGGGGCTACACGAAGACGTGGACCGACAACGCCTATTTACGAACTTAAGCTGTCTACTGGCAAAATACTCATGTGTGCAAAATTTTAGCCTTCACTCAATTTGTTAGAAAGATAGCGTGATTACAACAGACAGCCAGAAAGACGGATATCGACATAGAATTTTACGCTGATCCAACAACAATAATGGGATTAAGCCTAATTGTTTTGCAACTGATAGAGAATATATATACTTTATAGGGTCTATTATGATTATTTCGAGGAGTTACAAATGGCATGACCAAGTTAATATACCCTCCATTGAGTGGTAAAGCGTATAATAAGTTATGCATGTAAAAGGCCAACCGATGGAGCTCCTTTCCTACAATGATCCGGATATAGACAATTTTAAATTAACGACCAACAAATTGTTATCTACTTTCAGAATCTAGGAATCTAAACCTTTTATCATTTTTCCAAAAATTTGCCTGCCGCGGCCTAATTTGGTTGTATGAGCAAAATTCCATACTATTCGGGTTGATATTACACGTTTGGTGCACAATAAAAGGCAAATCGGACGAAGATATATATGGGAGCTATATCTAAATTTTGACCGATTATCTCGAATTTCAATAGGGTTCGTTCTTGGGCCAAACAAATGATTTTTGCAACATTTCATGTGGATTGGGCAATAAATGCGAACTGTACTTTGTTTACAAAGAGGGAGCTTATTTCGCTCGGGCCGAACTTATAATACCTTCCACCATTTGGAGGGAAAAATCACTTAAAACAAAAACGCCTGACTGAAAACTCGTATGTAGGGGCTAAACGAAGACGTGGATCTGCATAATTTTTTGTCATAGGCTGTAGAACCGATTTCGAACTTTAAATACGAAATTTGAAACAATCCCGGTGAATAATGTCGCTAAAATCATCAAAACTTCAAATATTAGGAGGTATTGTTATATTGGGGCTACACGAAGACGTGGACCGACAACGCCTATTTACGAACTTAAGCTGTCTACTGGCAAAATACTCATGTGTGCAAAATTTTAGCCTTCACTCAATTTGTTAGAAAGATAGCGTGATTACAACAGACAGCCAGAAAGACGGATATCGACATAGAATTTTACGCTGATCCAACAACAATAATGGGATTAAGCCTAATTGTTTTGCAACTGATAGAGAATATATATACTTTATAGGGTCTATTATGATTATTTCGAGGAGTTACAAATGGCATGACCAAGTTAATATACCCTCCATTGAGTGGTAAAGCGTATAATAAGTTATGCATGTAAAAGGCCAACCGATGGAGCTCCTTTCCTACAATGATCCGGATATAGACAATTTTAAATTAACGACCAACAAATTGTTATCTACTTTCAGAATCTAGGAATCTAAACCTTTTATCATTTTTCCAAAAATTTGCCTGCCGCGGAAAATTTACCAATGGCAAAGCAAGTTTTTTATATCCTCAGCCATATGGCCAGGAAGGGTATATATCATTAGGTCTCTTTGGATTAAATCCGTCTCAGGACATTTGGAGTCGATCTAGCGTTGTCTGGCTGGTGCGCACGATAACTATCGAAGGGAGTATCCGTTTTGGTCCAAACTTGGTACATCGTAATATCTTTGTCAAACGTAGGACGAGTTCCGAGATGGGCAATATCGGAGCACTCCTTTTGTGTGGGAGGTACACAAAATGTCGAAAATATATATTCTCTGCACGGTAAGCGAAACGACAATCCGATTTGGCTCCGGCTTTGCAAATCCGAATATTTGCATCAGTGCTAAGTCAGGTGCGAAAATGGACAGTATCGGTCCACTTTATCCAGTACCTCGCCCACAAAGGGTCAAAATTTTGAATATCCATGGAGCTCATAAAACACGAAATTATCATCCGATTCCATTCAAATTTTGCACATATCATTATTTTCATCAACGCAAGATCTGTTATTAAGATGGTAGAGATCGGACCATTTCTTCTGGTACCTCTCCCACATAGGGCTCAAAATTTTGAAAAACAAACGCTCAAATCAAGCGAATTTCACACATCCAAATACTTTTGCTAACGCAAGATCTGTTTTGAAGATGATATATACATATCTACGAAACCCTTCTTGTATCTCACCCACAAAGGGTCACAATTTTCAATAATTTTATCTGCCATAACTTGCGAAACAAGTCAGCGATTCGTTACAACTTTCTATATCTAAATATTTCTTTCAACCAGAATTTTGGGATGAATATGGATTTTATAAAGAAGATAGACCAAAACTGGCACGTCGCAATATTTATATCGAATTTATTTAGGTACGACGTG